ATTAAATGGAAATTTGTTTGCTGAATAAACCCCCCCCCCCCAAAAAAAAAAAACAACAAAAAAACAAAACAAAACAAAACAAAAACAAAATCTGGTTCTTTATTATAACAAGGGACTTGATAATTCGCTTGTTTTTCGTTTTTTTAACTATGTTTTTTTTAACTAAGGTTTTACGGCGCTCGCAACTCCATAAGGTCATACGAGCGCCGTAGCACTATGTACAGTTTAAAAAGTTGCGGAACTTAGCTGCTTGTGGTCTAGTCATTGTCTCCCCCCCCCCCCAAAAAAAAAAATAATAAAAAAATAAAAAAATCACCGTCCACCGTTCAAAAAATGAGCTGTATGTGAGGTTTAACCCAGACAACAAAATAATTTTCAGAAATAATATTATTATGTTTTGTAAACTTGAGACTCCTGGATTGCAACTAATCATTCACCGGCGAAATTAAGCGCATACGAAAACATTTTTAGAAATCCCTTTCAAACTTGCTTGCCTCGCCTGTTTCTTAAAATAACAATACACAAAGACAGGGCAGGACTCTAGGTCTCACCTCGACTGACCCTCAAAGACACTGTCAAACAACATCAACAAGGGCGTAATCACAGACAGAAAACTTCAATCACTTCCCGACCAACAAGCCAGGTACATAGCGGGCGTTAAGCTGTCGGCGTGTCTTTGATGTAAGCCGCCGTGGTCACTGGATACGTAATTCGCTCCCCTTGTCTGCGCATTTCGCTAGGTGTGCAAGAACTCACTGGCTTTCACCAGACAATAGACTTGTGCTGACGTCAGGCGGAAAAACCGAGCTCCAGCAGTATTTTCTTTGTATTAAGACATGACTAGTCAGTTGTACACCCCAAGTGGTCACTTCAGTTTGGACGTTCGAAAGGAGCACATCGCTTGTGGAGTCTGATCGAGTCGTTCTTTCGGAGTCGTTTATTCTAGTTTCCTGTGTTTATTTCTCTTTGGAGTTTGTAACAGGTTGTTGTACATTATATTAATTCTCTTTTTTTGGTTCTTTTTGTTGATTTTCTTCCTTTTTGCCCTCCTGCTCCCTTTTTTTTTCTTTTTTTTTCTTTTTCTTCTATTTTTTTCTTTCTTTTTTCTATTTTTTTTCCTTCACCCCCACTTTTTTTCTCTTTTTTTCTTTCGTTCTCTCTCTTTTAGTCCATCACAGAGGAGTACACGTTGTTCTTTTGGAGTCTGTCACCGAAGTCACCTGCAGTATGGAGACCGTTGACCAGCAAAACGTTTTGTTGGACACCTTTAACCTGGTGAGAGGCACCCGTCTGGGGCGTGGCGGCTCAGGAGAGGTTGTTTTGGCCTCGGCCAAACACGATCCGTCTCTCAAAGTGGCCGTAAAGATGGTTTCTTTGAAAAGAAAGTCAGGGGAAACAGATTTTTTCAATGAAGTTTCCTTCCTTCGTGAACTACGCCACCCCCATATCCTAAAGATGATAGCCTTTGCCTGCGTTCCTCAACACGGCTTCATTTTGATGACGTACTATCAGAACGGGACACTTAGCAGTTTGATATGGTCAGAACCTCTGAAGGGAAGACGGATGCTAGGACATGTCCTTGATGTGACCTGCGCATTGGAGTATCTCCACAACCGCTACATCTACCACCAAGACGTGAAACCGTTGAACATTTTGTTGGACAATCAGGATCATGCCATTCTCGGAGACTTCGGACACGCCAAACAAGCAAGAGACAGTTCCGCCAAAGTGAGGGAGTGGGTGTCTACACCGGGCTTTTACGGACCCGAGACGAGGAAAGGTCGGCCCATGTGTCCTTTCAAGGTAAGAATATAGGGTTTTTCATTTTTGCTCTTGTCTGTCTTCTGCTCTATCTCTCTCTATCCCTCTCCCTCTCTTCCCCCCCCCTCTCTCTCTCTCTCTCTCTCTCTCTCTCTCTCTCTCTCTCTCTCTCTCTCTCTCTCTCTCTCTCTCTCTCTCTCACACACACACACACACACACACACACACGTACACACAAACACACACACACAGTCATACACTCTCTTTCACATCTCTCTTTCTGCCTCTCACTCACTGTCTCTCTCTCGCTCCCTGGTTCGACACTCTATCTCTCTCCACATAGATAGATAGATAGATAGATAGATAGATAGATAGATAGATAGATAGATATATACAGAGACTTATATATTTATATATGAGGGGAGTTGCCCGTGTGTCGGATGAGGGTGGGGGTGTGTAAGATATCCACTCTCTCTGCCTCCACGAGATGTATCTCCTACACATGTATATGTCTATATATACACATATCATATCTCTTGTGGAGGATAAAGGAAGCACTCGAAGTAGATATGAATATATATAGATGTATGTAGGGAATATATCTCTGTCTCTCTGCTGAGTGTTGTGAGTTATAATATGTAGCAAAGAAGGGATTTCGGTAATCATATCTATGTGTATGGAAGTGCGAGCTAGCTGGGGTGAGGAGGAGGAGATTTCGTGCGCCTGTTATTATAGAAAGGCCACCTGCCAGTGTAAGGGCGCGGTCGGTTGTCGTGATCAGTGCGTCTAGG